TGCCGTACCTGTCCTAACTGCTTGATTGGTTTTAAAAGTTAGATTTTAAAACATTTACTAATTTGTTTTTTTTTTTTTATGGCTTATCTGAAAGATAGTCTTGAGGTCGCTAACACACAAAGTGCCTTCACTCTTCATCATATCTTGATTATGCAGATCTTGTTGCTGCTCTTCTTCCTCTCTGTTGTGCTAATACTCATTCTGTTTCTTGCTCTCAAAGCCTGTTCAATTATTGTACCAAAATGTGAGAGGTAGGAAGAGAGTAGGTGTCATAATGGTGCTGTGCACACAGGAAGAAATGAAAGCAGTAGCTAAAATCATTGGTTTGAGTTTTGAAATGTAAGTCAGAGGCCTCTGTTCATTCCCTGTTGCCACTTACCAAATTTGAGAGATGGTTTCGATGTGGCACTCTGAGGGTAGGACCAGCAATTGAACACTAGTTCTGTTTTAAAGGTTATAATGAGGGGCTCTCAGACATTTGTAAATATATAGAAGTTGTAATATTTGACTTGATTCAATTTGTAGATGTCAGTTAAATTCATTACTAAATGATTGCCATATAATTTTCATCAATTCTTTTTCCTTATGTTAGTTGGAAGCCTCCTTAACTGCTGCCAAAAAGCAGTTAGCTGATGAAACTTTACTTAAAGTGGATTTGGAGAATCGCTGTCAGAGCTTGACTGAAGATTTGGAGTTTCGTAAAAACATGTATGAGGAGGTAACTATGTATAATTTTACTCTTTTGAGAAATGGAGGGGTTCCCCCTAAACTTATAACTGTAGATATAAAAATTGCGAGAAATTTTGTAGGTAAATTATTCAAGGTACTGCTGTGAAAAGGCTGCATATAAGAATTCAAGCCTTTAGGTTAAACATATGATTTTATTACTTCATCTGATTTATAAAGGCTTGGTCACAGCAGTTAATTACTGTCAATCTGTATAAGCATTTGTATTAGTTATCTATTGCTGCCTGACACATTACTCCAAAATTTAGCAGCTTAAAACCATAGACCTTTATTATCTCACAGTTTCTGAAGGCCAAGAATCTGAGAGTTGCTTGACCTAATGGTTATGTTTCAGGGTCTCTCACGAGGTTATAGTCAGGCTTTCAATCTGGGCTGGAGGGACTGCTGCTGAGCTCATTCACAGGCTGCTGCCAGGGTGTGCTAGTTCAGTATGCGCTTCTCCTTAGGGCTGCCCATAATATGGCTTCTCCCAAGAGTAAATGATGAGGGAGAGAGTGCAAGACAGAAGCCTCATCTTCTGTAAATTGATCCCTAAAGGGATATGCCATCACTGTCCATCACACCACACCATCACTGTACCATACCAACCATGATACAGTGTGGAGACTTTACACAACGGTGTGAATATCAGGAGGCAGCAACCTTTGGGGTCCATCTTGAAGGCTGGCTACCTGCAGCATTTATAGTTATATATGTATATTTTAAAATACCATTTATGAGCCTTAACATCTGTGATCAAACCTTGGGGGTTGAAGGCAGCAACTGTTGCCAAAAAAGAGGTAATAAAATTAAAGGGGAATGTATATTTCTCAAAATTGAAGAGGGTTGGAATTAACCCAATGTGAAGAACTTGCATTTAAATACTTAAATGCTTTTAGAAGTAATATAATTTTGAAAACAGTGACTAGCAGTGATTTTAAAATAAGAACTTTTTGTATAAGTTAAATTTTTTTTAAACGGAGAAAAAAATAATAGAAATCTGACCATTTTTATAGTAATATAGTATTAAAATAGGTATCAGTGCCATGTGCACTCACTGGACAAGCAGTCACACTTTGGACAACTCTCGAGTCAGTTTCTTATTTAAAAACGAAATACCAAACCTGTTTTTTTCTTCAAGGAGTGGTATGAGGATTAGAGTGGAATATTGTGTGCAAAAGCTCCTTGTAAACTATAGTAATTGCTGTCATATATTGTTAACTACAGTTTTACTTCGTAAATGGAGATATTTTTATATTAAGTTAACATTTTTATTTTGTTAAAATTGTTCTATCACTGCTTAGTTTTCTTTTTAATTTTTATTTTTCAATTACAATTGATGTTAAATATTATATTAGTTTCAGGTATACAGCATAGTGGTTAGGTAAATTTATATAATTTATAAAATGATTTCCCCCACTAGTCCCTACCTGACACTATAGTTATTATATTAGTGACTTGACTATTTTGTAACTACCAATTTGTACTTTTTAATCCCTTCACCTTTTCACCTACTCCCCCAATCCCCCTCAGGTGACCATCATTTTTTTCTGTCTATGAGTCTATTTCTGTTTTGTTTGTCGTTTATTTTGTTCTTTAGATTCCGCATGTGTGGATTTCTGCATCTTTACACAAGGAGTAGGGTTTTTTTTTCTAAGTCATTGACTTTACACACAGTAATAAGTGAAAAGTGGCATCAATAAAAAAGTAATTTAATATTTTTAGAGTGGGTAGCATCTTTAGAGGTTTGATTTTTGTTTTTATTGAGAATGAATTTAAAATACATATATTTTAACATGGAAGATATAATTCTACTCAATAAATATACCTATGTTCCTTATTAGGAACAATTAAAGGGGCAAGAAAAGGAAGGAGAAAACCAGGAAGAAGAAGAAGGGAGGTAGACAAAGGGCAAAATTATTAGTAGGTGCTCAACGTTTGTTGAACTAAAATCTTTCATTTGCATGTTTTTCACTTTATTAAATAGCTGTGAGCCCTAGGAGGTTAATATGAGAACTGGAATTTGAACCCGGTTTTCTGATTCTGTCAAGTGCATTTTCCTCTGCAAAGAACTGAAAGAAAGATGAGGAAAGGCATAGAAAAAGCACATGCAGTAAGATGATACAGAAACAAGATCTTCAGTGGGTTATATCTCCCTCTTGTGGCCTCTTTAATTATTGCCGTTAATGACAGGTATGTTGTAATTTCAAAGCTGGAAACTTGAATGGAAATTTTATTCTTGGACTTGTGTTCCTAGCCATTCTAGTTTTGGATAGTTCCTTAAAACATAAAGCGAAGGATTCTGGCTATATTTCTATTTTTTAGTAGTGAATTGTCATATGTACTTGAGATAGTAAAGTAATACTGTTAATAAAATTCTGTATCAATTGATATTGAAACCTTAGCACCAGCTCTTAAAATAAGTCATGTAAATTAGCTTGCTATGCCTACTATTGCATCCTAGTATGTTAAAGAAAATAGTTTTATTATACATAAGTCTCCTAGTTGACGTCCCAACAAGTTTAACTTTTCATGTGGATTTTTTTCAGAGACATCCTTAGGCTTGTCAGTACAACAAGTTTATAAAAACAATTACTGTTCAGTGTGCATATTTATCCATGATTGCATGGTACTTTAGTAAGTCTTCCAGGCCATTCCTTGCCGTCAGAAAAATAAATAGCCTTGCCACTAAAAAGAAACAGAAAATTCCCAGGGCTTGAGATACTGCTATTTCTGTCATTAGTTTCATTTCAAAAGTCTTCTCATTTGAAAACAAAGGCAAAAAAAGTGTCTATTCACATGCCTACCCTAGGACAGACATGAGGAAGTTGGTGTGTAAAGCTTGAGGTGGCTCTGATGTCACTCAGACTTGTACCAGTGCAGCTATGATAAGTAATTTGGTTTCATATTATTTTTTTCCTAGGAGATTAATGAGACCAGAAGGAAGCACGAAACTCGCTTGGTAGAGGTGGATTCTGGGCGTCAGATCGAGTACGAGTACAAGCTGGCTCAGGCCCTTCATGAGATGAGAGAGCAACATGATGCCCAAGTCAAGCTGTACAAGGAGGAGTTGGAACAGACTTACCATGCCAAAGTGAGCAGCCTCTTCTGAGGACTGGTTTAAACTCTTAGCCATTATTTCACAGTCATCCTGAGGAACATGAGCTGATGTTTGCATTGTTCTAGTTGTTAAATGAATTCTCCTAGTCTCCATGAAAATAGAAAATTGAGTTTTTAAAAAGCAGATGTCTATAAAGTAAATGTTACTGGAAACTATTCAAAGAAAGTAGGGTTATTCTAATTTTATCTGAGCTAAGGGTTTATCTTTATACCATTGATCATTCATGTCATATAATAGTAGTTAAGCCCAAACCATGTGAAAATGCTTTTCTACTACTAATAAATACTAATCATGCTGTCCTGCACATCCATTTAATAGTTAATTTTCTGGACTGCATTTAATTTTCACTTGTCATTCTTGTACATAGGTTGTCACCACCACACTTGGGGCTTTTTTGAACAAAGGCCAAGTGAAAGGCTCTGATATTTCTTCCTCTGCCACAGTTATTCATTTAAAGAATATTATGGAAACTTCCCACTTGTATAAGCAGATCATGCAAAAAACTGTAAAATCACTGAGTACAGGCTTTCTTAGTAAATGATTTTACCCCAGTGTGTTAAATGTTACATGATTTGATTAAAAAGAATTATTGGTGGAGGGCTTAGAAACTTAGAGCCATAGAGCTGTTGAAAAATATTTTCATTGCAAGGCCTCAAACTGTTCGTGTTGCTTTTATTTAACCCATTTCATAGTAATTGGCTGGAGAAAGGGAAAGATCTTTTAAACTCTACATTCAATTGTCTGACATTTGTTCAGTGCTAGGCATTGTGCTACGCCTTGAGGGAGCTAAAGTAAGGATTGGTGAGTCACATAGACAGTGGCCTCAAAGGGAGAGACAACATACAGAAAAATGTGCCCGAGACACACGCAGAACTGAATGTTATTGGCTTTCGGGGGAACCAGGGTATCATTTCTACCTGAGGAGCTGTTTTTTGCTTCTGAAAGGAAGTGTTTCCATTTGCTTTGCAGTGATCTATAGATTAGTACTTTCTGCTTGTTGCTTTATATTCTATATGAGATTTGGTGGGTTAGGGACATGTGATGTTTGTTTTCTTGCAAACATCACTGCCGTTAAGTTGTTAACTGCCGACTCTCCTTATTAGCAGTATTATCTGAGACATTAGAGATATAATGGTTGAAATATTAAAGTAGTAAACTTTGGGTAAAGACTCAGGTATATTAGCATTGTTATAGCTCATACATTGAAGGACTACGTTAATTCATCCTACGTCAGCCTGCTTCATGATGCTTTTCCTGTTTCATCAGCCAGTTACCAGCAGAACTTAGGTTTGAAATGAAATACCTTCAGATGAATTTGCTTCCTTCTTTGTTTGTTCTAATTCACTAGATAAGACTGACTATGGTTTGCTCCTTCTTTTAGCTCGAGAATGCTCGGCTGTCATCAGAGATGAATACTTCTACTGTCAACAGTGCCAGGGAAGAACTGATGGAAAGTCGTATGAGAATTGAGAGTCTTTCATCTCAGCTTTCTAATCTACAGAAGGAGGTAAGTATCTTCTCCTAAGAAGAATCGAAGTTCAACTTGAAAGCCACTTCCACCACAGTAGTCTACCTGCTTTGCTCTTCCCAATGCCACTTTTCAAAGAAGGCAGTGTTTTTCTGCACTGTGGTTTCACAGTGCTCCTCAGACTTTTTTCATTTTGCATTGTATAAACGTCTTCCAAGCAGGAGACTATGATCCCTAAATGAATAGATTATCCAGAGCTAAGGGAATTGCACTTGAGGAAGCAACCTGCCGGTTTATCTCCTGGCCTGACCCCGGACCCAGGTTTTCTGGCTCATCCAGCAGCCTCATCTCCACACAGAGCTCTTCCCAACATACTCCCTTTCACCATCTCATTTGGAAACCACAATGAAGAAAACATGCAAAAATTCTTTGTGAGTGGTAAATGATTTATGTTTCTAGATAAATTCAGTACATGAACTACTTAATAATTAGTATCTTAGGAAGTAGTATTAATTTGTGTATTAGTTAAGAATTTAGTGCCTCGTTCATTCATTGGTACACCAAAGTGATAAATGACGACATTGCTGGTTGTGTTAACTAGGTGCCTATCTTTACATAATGGTGCATTCAACATGCGGCTTAAGCAGGTGTACACACTGTTTGAAATCTGTTTCAATCTAAGGGTGCTGTCGTGGATGCAAAATACATATACCACCATATAGATATTCATAATGTTTCACTAACCTACTCTGTTCACCTTAATTACTTGCAAAGTAATTTCATTCAGCTTCTGTTTTCCTTAAGGGAAGAAATTTTATTATTTAAAATTTTCCTCTTAAGAATAAACTTTATTTTTTTGGGCGGTAAGCTTTTCTTTTTATTTTTAGTAAAATATTTTTCTGATTATGAAACTGAAGACATTGCAGAAATTTAGAAAACAAAGACAATGAGTTACATAAAATAGGGTAATGAAAAAATTAAAGTTGAAGCTTTTACATTGCCTATCAGTTGCATTTCATTGCTTACAATAAATTTAAAAATTATTTAGACCTATTTTGTCCTGATAGTAGTATTTTGAAGTTTCTCTGTAACACTGAAGCCGGAAGGGTCTTTGAGCTCACCCAGTCTGACCTTAGACCTAGGCGAGTTTATTGACTCGTGAGGCTGCACACTGATGCACACTGGTAGGCGGGTTTCTCTCCTAGTTTCCAGTTTTCACTTTACACCTCACTCTCCTTAAAGATTTTCTTGTAGGAATTTAACAGATAATCTCCCCCACCCCCCATCCCGCCATTATAGCTTCTTAACAGCCACTGTTCTAAAAATAGGCATTCTGTTCTTACTCTGAAGTGACATTTACTACTTTTCTCCATTTAATAAATTATATTTTAGTTATCTGCTTTCCTTCAATTTTACATTTCCCTACCTTTTTATTTAAAATTTTTAATTTGGCTGCTGCTTAATCCTGATGATGCTAGGTACAGATGTTTTACAGATGGGACGGAGACTTGTCTGTGGTTAGTAGTGGCAGGCTGTGAGACTTGTAGCTACGTGTTCTGACTCAGGTTCAGGGCTGTTTCACTGTGTGCAAGTTCATTGCTATCCTTGCAAGTTTTTTTTGTTGTTGTTAACTTCAGTTTAGTAGACTTTAAACAATGTTAGACAGGACCTGGGGGTTTCCAGGAGCTAACTCCTTAGGAAATAGGAGAGAAGCATCTCCTTCAACTGGAATAGTTTTAAATTTCTCTGTCTTACGTGGGACTGGGAGGGCAGAAAAGTGGGCTCCTTTGCTGAATTTATTACTGGTATCAGATTTTATGATAAATAATATATCTTGAGGAAATCTATTAGTTGATAAATTTTAGCCTTAGATTATTTAAAAAAAGAAGTAAGCCATCTGTCTCAATATTTTCCTATTGTATATCTTAACAGCATTTGTTGTTGAGTCATAGCAATTTCATCATGTTGCCTCTTAGGCCATAGAATTTCCTTTTGGTTATATGACTCATGTTAATGGAGTACTTCTTAAATTTTACTTAAAATTGATATAGCCGATGTTAGAAAAATTTTTGAATGATACTGTAGCATTTAGAATTAGGAATTTCACATGTCACTAACAGTATTTATCATTTCTATCTAGAATTTTTACTTTGTCCAAATTAATTGGTTGCTCAGAGTCTGTTTGGCTTGTGGGAGTCTTCAGAGGCACTTAGAAAGCACCTCTAATTTTTTGTTTTCCTAACACCCAGCCTCTGGAAACTTCTGTTGTACCTAGAACATAATAAACTAGTACAATAAACTGTTACATACTATAAAATTAAATAACCAAGACCATTAGGAGTCGTTCATAACATTTCAGAGTTAGAGGTAGGATCTTACAGATAATCTAGTCGGACATCTTTGTTTTCCAAATGTGGATAGTAGTTTAGTGAGTGCCAGGAGTCTCATATGTAGTTAATGGCAGAACTGGGAAGAAGAATCTAGGTCTGTCTCTCATGTTGCATTCTGGTTTTTTTTACTACATAACAGATGTAGTACAGCTATTTAAAATACGATTTAAATATTTCTATTTAAATACAAAATGATTCACAGTAACCTTAAAATTTTTTTATACCTACATTTTAATTTTTCCTTCTTAAAGAAATCTGGCATCAAAGACAGACAAATAGGCACACTTTGGGGTTTCCAAATCTAGGCTCAGAGTTCTCTTTGATTCTTGGATAGTTTATGTTTCTCATCAGCTCTCCTTTAGATTCGTCCTTGCTGTCCATTCTGTCTACCTCCCACAAGGGAAATAAACCGAAGAGATTGATTGAAGAGGAGACATTTAAACTTATATATTTTTTCTTTTGGAGGAAAGAAAATATAAAGCCCAAGAACAAAGAATTTCTCAGTTTATAGCATGTTTTTTTGCAGATGCAGTTAAATGCAAGTTCTTTCAGGCAGAGATTAGCTTTAGTATCACTCTTGAGATGAATGCCTGCTTCTGATATGGAATGTCAGATGCTACTCTGAACTATAATTAATTGATTGATTGGTTATTTTGTCAACGACTTTTTTATTTTGGCATAATTCTAGATTTATAGGAAAGTTGGATAGTACATAGAGTTCCCCTATCTTTCTCGCCCAGGTGTCCCCCATTTTTAGTATCTTATGTTATCATGGTACGTTTGTCAAAACTAAAAAGTTGACATCGGTGCATTACTATTAACTAGACTCTAGACTATTTGCATTTCACCACATTTCTTGTTACTGTCATTTTTCTGTTTCAGGGTACCACATATCTCCCTAGTCCCTGGTCTGTGACAGTTTGTCAGATTTTCCTTGTTTTTCATGACCTTAACAGTTTTGAGGAGGACTGGCCAGGTACCTAGTAGACTGTCCCCCAGTCTGGGTTCATCTGGTGCTTTTCTCATGGGTTATCTGTTTTAAGTGCCCTTCTTGACACATATCAGGGATTACATAACATCTGTGTTACATTATTTGTGATGTTAACCTTCATCATCGGTTAGGGTAGTGTTCGCCAAGTTTTTCCACTGTTCAGATTACTATTTGTCCTTTTCCATACTCTGTTCTTGAGAAGCAAGTCACTAAGTCCGGTCTGCTATTAGGGCAAAGGACAGGAATTCAACTTCACATCCTGAAGGGAGAGCATCTACATTTATTAAGTGGATTTCTTATGTAAAAGTTTTTTCTTCTCCTATTTATTTGTAAATTTATTCATTTATTTGTTTATTTCAGTATGGACTCATGGATATTTATTTTCTACTTTGGGTTATAATCCAATGCTACATTATTTTATTGGCTCAGATTGTTCTCACTTTGGCCATTAGGAGTTTGGTCAGATTGGCTACCGTGTCCCCCTGTATTGGGACACATCTTTACTTTCTGATACTCTAAGATGCTCCAGGCTTATCTTATATTTTTCCTGCTCCAGCTCTAGAATAAACCATTTCTCCAAGGAGCCCTGGTTCCTTTTACTGGAGAAAGGTATATAGAAATTGAGATCTGGGCTTTCAGTGTGATCACTGGTACTAGGGTGTCATCGCTTCTAGGCCCTCTTCCAGGCAGAGCTAGGTGATACATGGATGTATGCTAACCCATGTTTGTACACTTACCTGTTTACTTATATTTACATTAAACTAAATACCAGTTTGTGCTGATGTTTCGGACTCTAACCCCATACTACAGGGTTCATTTTAGGCTTCCTTTCTCGCTTATCTGTAACTTTTCTCTCTGAGAGTAAGAAACCTGGTTTCTACCATCCTGTTTACTGATTAAAACAGTTTCAAAGTTTTTAACCCAACCCTTGTGAGAAATAAATTTATTACTTAGGTGTAGTGTTTCTGCACAATGTAAAGCTCCTTTTTGTCTCTAGCCTTCCAGACTTAATTTTTGCACAGTAGGGTACCCTTTCTCTCCTGCTCTGATCCTAAGCTATCCATCAGTCTTTTTGAGTTGATTACCTTTGTCATTTTCGGAGGCAACTGAGATGAATTCTGTCTTGGAGAAACGCAGAATAATTACCTAATGAGTCACAGGTTTCTAAGATGAACCTTCTGGTATAGGATGTGTGATTTCTCACTTTTTAAATATTAAATATATAATTTTTATATTTATAACAATATTTATAGACCACACCGTATTGTATAGTCTTCGTGTGCTAATTGAGCATGGAGAGAGCACAGCAGTCCTAAAGGGATAACCATAATCCCTTTTTTTCAGTTCCGAATAGTTTTCAGCAATTCTGCAAAACATACCTACATTTTTTTTTCTTTTGTCAGTGAGTTTCTTCTGTCAGTGAGTTTCCCATCTTTTTAGTTCTTTACTTTTGTTAATTTGTATTTCTGAGCTAAAAGGCTTGTAGGGGAACCAGACTTTTATTAAAACCACAGTTTCAAAATGTTTTATATTGGCCAAATGCAGAAAAATTATAAGTACATTTATGACACTTACGTTTGATGAATACATCTTTTTTTTTTAAGTCTTTATAAGCCAAAGCTTTCCTGTGGGCTGTATTTTATATTGGAGGAATTTTAGTATTTAATTTATTAAAATCAAAATCTCTTGAATTCTAATGTTAGCCGTTCCTTAGTTCTATTTCCTTTCCAGTCCAGGAAATGGTTTGTGGTTTAAAATAGCTGCCTTGTGCGAATATGGAAATGTTCCTAGAAAGTAAGATATGTTCCCTTGAATCTGAAGTCTAGAGCATGTTTGGAGAGGATTCAAGAGTTGGAGGACTTGCTTGCTAAAGAAAGAGACAACTCTCGGCGCATGCTGTCTGACAAAGAGAGAGAGATGGCAGAAATAAGGGATCAGATGCAGCAACAGCTGAACGATTATGAGCAACTTCTTGATGTAAAGTTAGCCCTGGACATGGAAATCAGTGCTTATAGGAAACTATTAGAAGGCGAAGAAGAGAGGTAAGTAACAGCTATCACCTACTTTTAGTCTACTTTTTGCCCCTGCCCTTTTTATTTAAAGAAAAGTATATAGGATTGTGTTTTATTTTAAAACAATTAAGGCAACTTTAAATAATTTCTGTCATTTCTTTTAAAACCTAGATGTGGAGGTAGGTAGTAATAGATCATATTTCTACCTCAGCAACAAAAATTGTTGCTCAAGCAATCTTTTTATTACTCCTCCTACTACTATCGTTATTATTATAAATTATTATAAATGCTGGACTGCATCAGGATGGATTCTTTCATTTGAGATTTTGAATGTTTTGATAATTTAATGTGTTGTAAAATATTGGATTTGCCGAAAGACTTCATACTTATTTTTCAAATCTGGTTAGTTGTATAAATCCTTTTCACCCTTTTTCTCAGAAAAAGTTCCAAAGGAACGTACACTGTGTTTATAATTTTGTAAAAAAGAAAATGTATGAAAAGATTAAGGTAAATATACTAAATATAACAGTGGTCATGGTAGGGTGATAGTAGATGGGTTGGTTTCCTTCCCTGTTTTGCAAACCTTCTGCATTATGGTTTTATTCTATTCCTAGGAAAAACATTCAAATTATTTTTAAAAAGAAAATTGAAGGGTGGTATCCTAGTTATCTTAGTTAAGATGTGTATCAGCTTTGTCTAACATCATCAGTAATGTTTTGCTTTAGAAATGCATGTGCAGGATAGCAATACCCATTTTTTTAAGGGAGGAGGGGCATATGTTTCATAAACGGAATATTTTATTTTTCCCATGTAGATTGAAGCTTTCTCCAAGCCCTTCTTCCCGTGTGACAGTATCACGAGCATCCTCAAGTCGCAGCGTGCGTACAACTAGAGGAAAACGGAAGAGAGTCGATGTGGAAGAATCAGAGGCGAGCAGTAGTGTTAGCATCTCTCATTCCGCCTCAGCCACTGGGAATGTCTGCATTGAAGAGATAGATGTTGATGGGAAATTTATCCGCTTGAAGAACACTTCTGAACAGGTGAAAAACAGACTTATTTCTTTTTCCAGCAAGGCTTTGTGGACTGGTGTATATCTTGCCATGTAATAACTCCTTAGCCTGTATTTGGATTTTGTAGTCTTCATGAAATAAGAGTTTCCCTCCTTCTCTTTACGCAAATTCATGAAGAAAGTATAAATTAAAATAGGAGGGGGAAGAGAAGTTGGTGTTCTTAGTGGTTTAAAGATTATTTTTGTTAGCCCGTCTTTACAGAGCTAGGCCTTTTTCCTCACGCCTGGTCATTTTGTCACAGTGGCTTTCCTAAGGATGAATTGTTACTCCCTGCCCTAGCCAGATTTGTGAAAAAGTTGAAGTTTGGGTATAAATGGTGGATATTCTTTCATAGCAGTTAATTTCATGAAAAGAATATGAACCAGACTCAGATATATGCAGGGAGTGTTTTCTCTCTACATGAATGAAGAAATGAATGTTAATGATTTAATTTATATCAAGAATAGTATGAAGCCCTGTCTTGAAATTATTTAAGAGTAAACATAAAATATAGGGAATTCTGAAGTTTTGAGCTGGGGCTTTCGAGAGCTTGGTAGTGAAGGTCCTCCCTGACCTAGGCATCACGGAGCTAGGGGCTGTGAAGGGGTGTGAGCCGATGTAGAGGGAGGCAGGTCTGGGGGTGCAGTGGGGATGCAATGAGATGGATGTTACTTCCGGAAAAGTATGTTCAGGATTTGTCAAACGTTGTTTGTGGAAATCACTCTGTTTCTCACCAGAACTATTAAAAAATTATCTTGCATGTGCATGAAGAAATAATTTGATGGGCAAAGGAACCCTAGCAAGAGAGTAGGTTCTAAGCCTTCTTTGTCATGACTTTAAATGTTGAAGAACAGAGTAGTGTACTGCTTCATTGTTATAGTTTGGTAGTTTTTCGAAAGGTGTGGCAGCCCCGTTTGGAGCTATTCTGAGGCTGGCTGTCAGCCTGGTTTATTCTTGTCTTTGAGTTGGAGAAGGATATAAATTAGTGTAGCTAATTGCTTCAATATCCTGTACCTTTCCCAGGTGTCAGACAGGCCTGTGCGGCTTGGTGCCTAGAGTTGTTAGCTAGCACTTGGGATTGGCTCATTGTGTCATTGACTCTTTTTGAGCCCCTTATGCTTTAAGGTAAGAGTTAAATGGGCAGAAGTGGTACAGATGCAGAGTAAAAGGGATACAATTTTCTTCCTTCTGTGCTAAGCTTCTGTGCCTGTATTTTAAAAGCTTAAAGTAATAAGTATTAGATGTTTATATGACAGCTAGATTGTGTTGTAAATTTAAGACTCACCTGATTCAGCCATGAACATGACCATTTAATTTGGTTCACATCCCTTTTCTTCTAGTTTTGTCCCTTTAAAATTAAGTACCTTAATAATTCAAATTGCAGCATTGTCAAAGTTACTGTTTTGCAGAATGACAAAGCCATGTTGTTTTTTTTTTATAATAGGAAAATATGAATCATAGGAAGATGGCCATAAAGCTATTTTAACTGCCTGTATTGATAGGTTAATTTATTTGATTATTCCATAACTTTCTGTATGTTCAAAGTGACCTTCTTTTATTTTGTTCTGTCAATAGGATCAGCCAATGGGAGGCTGGGAAATGATCAGAAAAATTGGAGACACATCAGTCACTTACAAATATACCTCAAGATATGTACTGAAGGCAGGCCAGACTGTTACAGTAAGTGAATTTAGTTATCATTTAACTTCATTGTCTCAACTAACAGTTAAAGTAATTCGAGAAAATTTTTGACTTAAAGAGAAGCATTTTAGAAATGACCTTTAAAACATCTTTGACATTACTAGGGAATCACATGTGCTATTAAAGATTTTAAAAGTTTTATCTTATTGAGAGTGGTAATTGTATTAAAAGTGAAAAAATTGACCTATGAATTCTTTTTATTTTGTATACTCTGGTAGATATAAAACAGCTGTCTCTTGACTGACAATTGTAGCCCAGTGTTAATTCGGGAGATACCGCTTGACAGAAAGAACAGTTTGGGAGACAGTCTGTTAATGCTGGAGTATACCTTAAAGCCATAGTCTTCAGCCTTAGATGAGCATCAGAATCATCTGGGCAGTGTTTTGCTGTCCAGGCCCCACCTCACCCTTAGTTACCATCTCTGGTGTTGGCATAGGGACCTACGTGGTGTTGGCATATTTTGGGGTTAAATTACTAAATTCATTAGGTGCTAGGCACTGTTCTAAAGAGTCACTTCTTTAAACATAATATTTTAGCAAGAATAATGTGATTTTTACATAGTATCTAAGGGTCTAGATTTACAGAGGTGGGCAGTGTGCCATTGGAGTCTATTCTGAGTTCCAAATGATTCTCTGTTGCTATGTTCTGAAATACAGAGTCTTCAGTAGTTACTAAATATCATTTGCTCAGTTTTTGGAGAAGTATGCTTTGTTGAGCAAACACAAGGTTCCTCTTAGTAAGTAGATTTAGCAAACAATAAAATATGTTTTGATATAAATTTTAAAGAAGTCACTGTTTTCAGTCTTAAAGAATATAGAGATGACTCTTATCGATTCCTTTTAAAAAATATTAGACATGTTTTAATTTTGACTGGTACAACCCTCAATATTTAAGAGCAAAGGCTCAACAGGTTAGAACTTCTCTTTAAAATAGTATATTTATAAAGCTTGATGCCACATTGTGAGGATATCAGATGCTAATTTTATAATAATAGGTAACAATGGGAACAAATAGACTGACTTCATTATCCTTAGTAATTTTTCCTTAGTAATTAGTATAGTGAGAGAAAATTGCTCAGTCTTATTATGTGTCTTACAGAAGCTGCATAATGTAGTGCAAAGTGTCTGACATTTCAATTCTGAAGATTCAGATTTGAGTGTACTCTCTACTCTCTAAAGTAATGTGAAACCATTATGCCAATCATTTGTTTTCCACTGGATATAGTTCCTCGGGGTCTAAATAGATATATATTCTATAGGTCTAGTGGAGAACTCAGTTATCATATAAAATAATGTAATGCATTTTTTTCCTTTGGTAACCAGCATTAAATGTGATAAAAAGCTCTTTGGAGCATGGTAGTGATAAGTAATTGTTCTGTAAAATTGTACAAGGCAGTAGCAAAGATGACTTTAAAACTTTAGAATGGAAATAAGAGAATTACATATGTAATTTTAAAAAGTAAAGATGTGAAATTATCTTTAGTACAACATTTTATTTACCCCACTATATCTAAAATATTATCATTTCAACATGTGATCAATATAAAAAAATTATGTCAGATATTTTATCTTCTTTTTTTTGACCTGAGCCTTTAAACTTCGATATCCTTACAGCACATCTCAAATTGGACTAGCCACATTTCAAGTGCTCACAAGCCACATTTGGCTACCATATTGAAGAACACAGCTCTAGGACATTTTTGGGGTTAAATTACTTAGTGAGATGACTGACATTTTACGATTATTATTAACGCTAAACCAAATACATGATTCCTTATGGACTAGTGAAAAGTATTGCTTGAAATTAGGAAAATACTTACATTTCATATAATCTGAAAGTCTACCCAGATCCAGTTCCTTCTTTCAGTGTTGTCCCAGTAAATGCTTGATACCCCTTTCTTTCCATTTATCATGCTGGTGGGAGATCTGGAAGCTTCAAGTGACCGTCTAAGGAGGAAGGGCTCTCTCCCAGTCAGTTAAGTCATAGATACTTCTTTCTTAAAACTTTACTGCCTCCACCATCTCCAATCTTCCTTTTGCCATCATAAAGCCCTTTATACTGTAAAACAATTTATGGGGTAAAACACTTCATGTGATCTTTTAGAAAGATCAGGGCCGGTAGTAGTGTTCCTATAGATGAGGACATTGAGCGTAGGATTCAAACCTACGTTTTCTCACTCTAAAGTTTTTTTCGCTTTACCCATACTCTTCTGCCAATAAATACATTAAAAATATGGCAGAATTTCTATGCCGATGAGATGGGAAACAATTATTTTCTTTGTCTTGCCTGTTTCAGCAGCAGTCATATTATTCATTGAACTGTGGGTGGTTTGTCCATTTCCTGTATTCTTTTTGGAGTTTAATCTCAGATACTCCATGGTATTGTGATACACCATTCCTGGTTGGAGACATACCAGTTTCTGTAAGAATATTCTAGATAGGCTGTCTGCTGCGATAGATTTGAGAGAAGTTAGTCATCTCCACATTCTTGCTATATAGGTAGCTGGAGGATACTGTTGGAGGGTGTAAGAATGTGCCCTTAGCGTAGGATGGTCCATAAAATCCATAGAAAAATAGAACACTAACAGTGAGAGCTAATATTCTCTGAGTGAGCTAGCCACTCTGTGTGGGTAATCACTTGTTCTTCACAACATCTCACATGTTATAGGTACCATTTCTGTCCTATTTTATGGACGACAGAAGTAAGATAATTTTCTCAAGTCAGTTGCCATGTAGAGGAGCTAGGATGTGAATGTGGGCAACTTCACTTCAGAGCCCTGTGTGTCATCATTTTCATTTATCAGATAGAGAAGCTGAGGCGTAGATAAGCTCTGTGGGTTCTTCTTGACACGGCTAGTTAATATAGCAAGTCTGAGGGTAGGACACAGTTCTGAGACTTTAGAATCAGTCCTACAGGTGTTCAAATCTCATCATAATGTTGTTGTCACTGGCACGCAGGATCGCTAGCCTCTGAGTAGACTGACGTTTTTTCTTTTTTCCAGATCTGGGCTGCAAATGCTGGTGTCACAGCCAGTCCTCCTACCGACCTCATCTGGAAGAACCAGAACTCCTGGGGCACTGGTGAAGATGTGAAGGTTATATTGAAAAATTCTCAGGGAGAGGTATGACCATTTTATTAGTATCACTACAGTGGGTGGCAATTTCACTCTAAAGTTCATCTGGCGGATGTGGTTCCATAGTGTAGTGGTTAGCACATCTGCTTTACACACAGAAGGTCCTGCGTTTGCGCCCCAGTGGACCCATGGTCCATGGTCTATGGCCATGCCATCCTGAACAAGCCCGATGTTTGATCTCGGAAGCTAAGCAGGGTTGAGCCTGGTTAGTACTTGGATGGGAAACCACCTAGGAAGACCAGGTGCTGTAGGCATAAATAATAATAAAATAAATAAATAAAGTTCATCTGGCAAGTATGACTTCTTTGCAAAACTCAGACTGAAATATGAAGTAACTGGTTAAATCAGACCAAGGCTGCTGAGTAATTCAAAGCTGACTTCAGATTTTAGGAATGAGTATAAGTGTATCGTAGAGTACTGCTTGCTAGTTCAGCACCTTTCTCCACTTACACACTGGCTTTGTGACTTTGGGCTAGTTCCTTCACCTTTTTCTTACTTTAAAATAGAGATAATAAGACAATATAAATGAGATAATATAATGAGAATAATATAAATGAAACAATTTTTGGAAGATGCTCGGAACAGTATCTGGACTCTTATTAAGTGCTTATGTTGTTAACCTTGTGACTAGCTCTCAGAGTGTTTGCGAAACTCTGAGTTTGAAGATTGTGGAGTTTGAAGATCTGCTTGATGTGTATGTTTTCAACATGTCAATCCTAGAATTCTTGTCAAAGAAACTTACCTACTCCACTGTCACGTAAAGGTACCATGGTGCCCCCACCACCCGCACACCCACCAAGAGATAAAAGTTTCTGTAAAGAAAGGCGTGGTTGCGGGTCTAATCGCTGTTCCCATACGGATTCCTCCCCGCTCCCACAGTGCCAGGTGCACGGCCCTGGCCAGGCTGTCCTCTCTCACCAGAGCAGTATGTACATTGAGGGCAAGGACTGATTCTGGTTTTTTCCTGGCAGTGCGCCTGACACATAATAGGTATCCACTTAGAATTTACTGGAAAAATTTTTTAAAAAATCAAACATGGACTTTCACTTAAAGTTCAGAGAAATCAAGTAATTAACAGCATTCATTACAGGGGGCTGAGATATTTGCATAAGAAGTCCAGTCCCTGGCCAACTTCTCGTCTTTCCTCCCTGTAAACATCTGCTGATACTTAGGAATTCATTGTCTACTGAATGAAGAGTGTCCCTAATCTCAGAGTGAGACTGAAAATGAAATGGCATCTGACTTTTTCTCTAGACCTCGGTATAGTAGTACAAGGTTTTGGGGTGCACCTGGGGAATTCGCCTCCAAATACTCGCTGGGTTCTCAGGGTCGGGAAGTGTTCACAAATGCCTTCAATAAGTCAGAAACTTAGGGGTGCTGGGTCTTCCTCTAGTTCTCTGTGCAGAAGCCCTGACTTGCTTCTTGCCTGTGGCACTTTGGAATCCTTCCCACCTGTCACCCAAGTGCCGGCATTAGCTCCGAGGCTGGTAGAGCCCCTGACATCTGAAGTTGGCAGAGCACATGTCTCTGTCAGAACATTGTTGTGAGTGGTAATTCGCTCAGATCGTAAAACAGATGAAATAGGCGTTTGTGAGCCACGGAATCTAGTTGCCATAGCATTTTTTTTCTGAGTGAAAATGTGTTCCAAGTTAGAACTAATAGGAGGATATTTGGAATGCCGCAGGGTTAAAAGCACACACAGTAGATACAGTGACAGTGGGAACAAAGTAGATACCACGACATGGGACATGTCTTGTTGTTTTACTTGTGACGTCCCATAAAGCTAACTGAAACTCAGATTTCCCTTCATAATTCAGACCACTGACTGTCAGATTAGTTGGTTGGTTTGTCTGTTCTTTTAACAAACTTCGACTTCCTCTTTGCTAGGTCCTATTAAGTAAGTGACTTTTAGGAGTGAGGAAAGTATTAAGAATATAGTCTTTATTTATTTCTGTGATTGTCAGATGACTGCTTTTGGCATTTGTTTATTTAATTATGTAAGACCATATTTATTAGTAGGTCCCAGACCATATTTGCAAAAATCTATAATTACCACCAAAAAGACCACTTTTCTGTAAGATTGAAAGTAATTGGCTTAAATCGGCTTAGTTTTTTATGTATATTTTCTTTTTGCTGAGTTGTTGAAAATGACAAAAAACCTAATTAAATTGGGTTTAAAATAATTGGAATATCTGGTTTCACAAAACCAGAAATCTAAAGATAGTGGTAGTGATCCATTGGCTTACCCAGTGTCCTCAAGGATCTCTCTGCTCTCTCTGCTGTCTCTGCTTCTCGTGTTGTCTCCCTGTTGGATTGGGGAGGGTGGCCGGCGGCTCCTGGAGGTGCATAGCTCCCGGCTAGCTTCTTGTGGGAAAGAGCATCTTCCCCCATGAGGTCCCCATCCTTACTGTACCAGCTTGGGTCACATGCCCACCTCTAAACCAATTCCTGGAGCCAGGAGGACAGAGCTAGAGCTTGAGCCTTCTTTCTCCCTCCACAGCTGGGTCACACTTGGCTCCTTGTGACACACCTATCACATCTCCGTGGGGAGAGATAGGTACCCACGTGAAACTGGGGGCTCTTCCTGGGAGATGAGGGAGGGGGTACTAAATGATTAAAAACAGCAAATGTCACCATGGTAAATAAAACAGTTTTGTATGAGTAAAATAAAAAATAAAAGCGTCTCTGTACCTTCTAGAATATAGGAATAACTGAAACTTTTGTATATGGAAATGATTAGTTAAGTATACAGAGATATTGTAGTTTAACAATCGGCTCCTCCATTCCTAAAAACCACTCTGATTTGTAGCATGTAGTACTGATTTCTGTGGTGTAACTACTCCTACCATGGTGATTTAAGGCCACCAGTGCGCCATTACTGAGCCCAGAGTGGTAAAGAGATGAGCTCATTAGCTGGTCCCAGAGTAGATTTAGATGGGTGTGCCTTCATGTGCCCAAGGCCTTATCGGGGCAGACTGATAATGTATTTTATATAGAGTCCATTTACGTGGGCCTTTCAGGGTACTTGGTAGGGTTGGGTATCTTGCTGAGAGGAATTTTTTTAGTAAAGACACTTACCTATTGTACTTTGACTAGTAACAGTTTCCTGGGCTTAGCTTCCTAACAACTTTTTGGTTCTAAGTTTGTTTTCTTATTTTCTTTCTAAAGTTTTAGACATTATTTAGCTCACTCATTTTCCATATAAGCTTTCTGCATTAGAGTAATTGGTTTTTAAATGTTCTTAAATGAAAAGTGCTTAACCACAGGCTTACATTAAAAGTAGTTATGTTGAAGCGATTAATAATTAATGAAGTTGGGCAAGTTGCTGCTTTCTAAGCTTCTCATTTGAGGCTAATAGTCTTAAGTTGCATCACGAGCTAGCTTTCTTTAAGAGCCCGTTATAAGGTGAGAATTCTGTAACAGATTTTCTTTGACTTCCTCCCCACACCCCGCCCTGCTTTATTTTAAGATGAGTTGAGGAAAACTGGATGGGTACCTTGAGAATCTTTTCTGTTTTGTATGCCACCATCCCCGCAAATCGATATCTGAGTTCAAAGAATTGTAATTGATCCAAGGGTTACATGCTTTTTTTTAGGGGTAATTTGGCTAAGGCAGGCTGGTTGATATTTGTGAAATGGCTGTTTGTGTGTGTTAACAAAGACCGAGCTCACAGAACTGAAGTTTCCAGCTAAATGAGTAACTCAAAATGGTCCATCTTGGCCCTACAACAATTACCAAATTCCTCACAGAATACCACTGCACTGCCTTACTTCATGCACAGAGTATATCTACGTGGACATTTTAAAAATTGAAGTCTCATTTCTATGACACTTTTGGTTTTCTTCCTTTGCCCTTTTAAAGTAGCTGGTCTGTTCAATTTCAGATAAACTTTTACTGACATTATTTTAGTGTCTTCCTCTTCCTCTAAAGAAAGGAGTTATTTTTCTTGAGAGACCTTAGGACATGGTACAGAGTAAAATTAGCTGCTCAGTAGCACTGTCTAGGACACTTGTGTACTTGATGCCAGATCATCAGGTTAGCCTTGTGCTTACACGAAAACACTGCTGCATTGTGCAACTCAGCATTCTCTACAGGAAAGTCATCTGTATTTGAGCCTTTAAGTAGAAAATGGAAATGATTACTTTGTGTCCTGCCAGTGAATGACAGGAGATGTAGCTTATGTGCAAGAGTAGCACCCGTGTGTAAGTAGGGCTTATGTGTCTTGGTTAAGAGGAGCCAGTTGCTGAGGGAATGAAAGGAGCTTGTCCTTTTCATCTCACTCATCAGGTGGTCCTGTTGTCACCGTGGTCCCTGAAGATCACAGCAGTTGGCCTTCAACTTCATTCAGCATTTATTTAGCACCTTGTCTTTGCCAGGAACCTGATAGCTTTCCTCTGAATTTATGTTGAATGTTATAAGAATTTAGTGTGCCAAATCATTTACAGAATTCTTAAGTAACAAAATGGGATAAAAAGCAGTAGAAACTTCTCAGCAGGTATTTCAAATTGGATACCAATAGCTCCCCTGCAGGGAATATTGAAGATCTAATTAATGCACAAATTCCTGCTCAGTAGTTAAAGCTACTGATTAACTACTTAAAAAAAAAAAAAAATCTCTGATGTAGGAATGCTATTTCTTAAACTTAAGCAAAGGAATGGTTTCCTTCCCCCTAACCTTTGTGATTTTAAATGTGGCTTTAACTTAAAATCAAACAACTCTTGTTTTAGGAGGTTGCTCAAAGAAGTACAGTCTTTAAAACAACCATACCTGAAGAGGAGGAGGAGGAGGAAGCAGCAGCTGAAGTGGTTGTGGAGGAAGAAATTTTCCACCAGCAGGTATTACTTTAATGTTTGTTTTAAATTTTACTAACAATTAATTGCATGAAAACCAAAACTAATTGTGGAGTTTGGTTTTCTTCCCCTATTGTTTGATGAACCAGATCCATGATCTACACGAGTTTTTGTTTTTCCTTAGATGATATTCAGGATAGGTACTGGAAGAGAATGTTAGCACTCCTTAAAAATTTTTTTTTTCTTTATATCAAATTTCAGTTTTGCCCTTTGTTTTATAATGTGCGTAATGTGTTCTCGTGGGACATGTATGTCGCTTATAAATAAGTATATACAGATCGGTATGCATGCTCAAAATTATTTACTCTTAAGGGTTCTGTGAGTTTAGATCACTAAATTAGAGCAAGCATCTGCATGTAAACTTAAAAACTTAAAAAAAAACAAAGCAATATTTAACTTCTGCACGAAACAAAATTACTGCTGTATTAAGTTGCTAATCATCTAATTGCAAGATAGATTTTAGCTGATGCGTGGGCTTTTGAGAACCCTTGAAATAAAGAAGCTCCACATTTAATTTTAATTAATTAAGTTGGAATTATTAATAACTAATGAGCCTTCAGTTTATATTCTCAAGCTGTTTGATTCTCATCATTAATCAAAATTCCTATCCTTGTCCTTAGAAGACTTTGTCTCTAGATTTAGAAATCTGTTTATTTTGTTTCATTAGCCCCAGTCCTACTCCAAATAAACATTATGTTCACGTTTACCTCCCATGGTTGAGAACCATGGTTGAGGTGGGTTATATGAGGTAGAATGAATTTTTGGCTTGGGTACTTCCTCATATATTTTGGAGGAATATTTAAGAACAGATACTTTAGACTTGGCTTTAATAAGAAACAAGCATAGGATCCATTTCCTGCCCTTATTAGAAGCACTATTAATGACTAGAAGTAAAATAACCATGTAAGATGTCTCGAGGTGCCAGACAGGTGGCTCAGATCATGAGTTCTAGTAAGTCAGATGCTGGAGAAGTCACCAGAGCAGTAGAGAAGATATGTGGGAAATGTGCTGTCCAATATTTTGAAGGATGGGCATTTATTTGGTTATGAGAAGGCAGATGATGGTGTTCTGAGGGTGATTGAATTATCTGTTGTTACATTAACAGACCACCCTAAAACAATAATTTCTTGCTTCCCATGATTCTATGGTTTGACTGTGCTAAACTGGGCAAAATTTTTGCTCCACAAATGGAGACTGAAGTCAGTCGTGCAGGTGCATTCAGCAGAGAGCTTGGCTGGGGCTAGAATGTTCTCTGCATCTCTCTCCATGTGGCTTCCCATCATTCAGTAGTTTAGCTCAAGCTTCACAACATGGCAGCTGGCTTCCAAGAAAGTGAAAACAAAGAGCGCTAGATCTCTCAAAGGCTGGGCCCAGAAATGGCAATGTCCCTTCCCATATTCCCTTGGTCCAAGTAAGTTACAAGGCAGCTCCAGTTCCAGGGGAGGGTAAACAGTCTCCACTCTTCACTTATGGGAGGAGTGGTAACGAATTTGTGAAGATCTTTAATTCATCATAGGGGATATGTCAAGACTTGAGCACCAAGTTAGTCCATTGTAGGGCGCGTGTGAGAGATAAACGAAGTTGGAAGGTTGGTGTTAGGTTGACACAGTCTGGAATGCCTAGGCAAGTGGTGCTGCACACTTGGGTGCAGAGGAGAAATTGAGACACTCTGGAATGGAGATTGCAGACCCTGAGGGATTACATGAATGGAGATTCATTAAGGCATTAGTGGCTGAACCTGAGGGTGAGAGAAGAAAAAAAGTTAAAGATGTGTGGTCTTTAGCTTTGGGGATCAGAGAAAATAATGACATCCAGGTTCAAAAGAGGGAAGATGGAAGGGCACATCAGCTGGCTTGCCTTCATGTTGTAGAGAATGAATCCAGTGTCCTTTCGAGTTGATGAGAAGTTTTTTTGGTGACCTTCATACTTGAGGCTGAACCTCATTTTACATTCAGGATATGAGGGTTGAGGATCCAGCCAGCGGGTTCTCTGATGTGTTCGTTAGGAATGGAGTCCACTTATCTGCTCTTTCCTAAGTTACAAAAGGAGGTTCACGAACAGTGGTTTTCAACTTCAGTTGCACATTGGAATTACTTAGGGAGCTTTACAATTTTTTTTTTTTAACTCTGTCCCTAGCTCTGTCCTTAACGCTGTCTGTAACCCTCGGAAGCTTTACAATTTTATACAAATAGATACTCTTCCAGTTAAATGAGAAGTTATCATTTAATTGACCTAGGGACCTAGATTAGATTCCCCCCACCCCCACCCCCCACCGAAGCTCATCAGGAACCAAGTGTGCAGCTGGAGTTGAGAATTGCTGTTGTGGAATTTGTTGGAGTTTTAGGGGGAGGAAGTCCCTTAGAGATGGTTAAAAAGGATAAGTGAGAAATGATGGGGGTCCATTTGAAGATAAGTAATATGGATTTGTACTATTTGTCTTATTTTAAAATACTGTGATCCATTTTCTTAGCGCTAATTTTTCTTTCTGTCTTCCTCATCAGGGAGCCCCGAGAGCATCCAATAAAAGCTGTGCAATTATGTAAACTTCTCAAGTCAACTGTCTTCCTCAAAATAAAGAAGTATGGTAATCCTTACCTACATACAGTGCAGAGCCTTCTCAGAAGCACAGAATATTTTTATATTTCCTTTATGTGAATTTTTAAGCTGCGAATCTGATGGCCTTAATTTCTTTTTTTGACACTGAAAGTTTTGTAAAAGAAAGCATATCCATACACTTTGTTGCAAGATGTGAATTATCGACACTGAACTAACTGTACTGTTTGGAAAGTGTCCCTCAAACTTTTTGACATTTTTTTGTATTTTTTTTTTTTTTAAGTTCTTATGAGAAGGGGAGGGGGAGGGTCAAGAAACCACTGTGTGTCCGGGCATAATTTGAAGATTGCTCCATCTAGATTAGCAATCTGCTCTTGATCATTCTCTGCTATATATAACGGTGCTGTGAGGGAGGGGGAAGCATTTTTCAATATATCGAAATTTTGTACTGAATTTTTTTTGTAATAAACAATCAAGACTACAAAAATCTTTTTTTTAAATAGAAAAGAGAAATTTTGTAAGATGGCAATATTAACCTAATCATGTAAGCACTCTAGATGAAGGATTCCACAAAACTTTGTTTTATGGTTACTTTTCTTAGATTCTTAA